GCATATGTCCATACAAAGACTTGTAACCAAATATTCACTGCAATTTTATTTATAATAGCTCAAGTTGTAAATAACCCATGCATCCATCAAGAAGTAAATGGAGAAACAAATGATGGTCTATCCAAACACTGCTCACAATAAACTATTCAGTAAAAACTCAGCACTAAACAATACTCTGCTATAAGACAAATAAGCTATTAATACAGCAACACAGATGACTCTCAAAATAATTACACTGAATGAAAGAATTCAGACAACATAGAGTAGATACTGCATGAATCCATTCATACAAGGATCTTAAAAACGCAAACCAATATATTCTGATAGAAAGCAGATCAGTGGTTTCCAGGGGAAGAGATGGGGAGGGAGGGAGGGACAACAAAAGGCAGGAGAGAAGCTATGTGGGTGATGGGTATGTTCACTGTCTTGAGTGTGGTCATGGTTTCTTGGGGATATATTTATGTGAAAATGTATTAAGCTGTACACTTTAAACGTGTGAAAATTATTTTCCAAGTATACCGCAAAGCTGTTTTAAGAAAAAAGGCACTTCAGTCCTGATCTACCTCAGAGCCTGATTGGAGTGACATGATCAGTCCCTCACCCTGTCTTCTTAATGGGAAGGTATAAAACCTCTCATGGAAGATAACATATGGATTTTTCATTTGCAATGTCTGCCATGTAATAAAGAATTTCTAGACATGCAACATGTTGAGACTATATGACAGATAATATGAGAATAAGAAATATTAGACAAAGGAAGCAAACCCCCAGGTGATGTAGGCATCAGAGTTACCAATAAAGGCTATAAAATACTTTTAATATATTCAAGAAAATAAGGAAATGATGGGAGAATAGATAACAGGGTAACGACTTTCACCAGAGAAATATACTGAAATGTATTTTTAAGAAAAATCAAACAGATACTCTAGAACTGAAGCTTTCAGCTCTGGAAACAGGTAAACAGAGCTAATTAGGATCCCTTTTAAGTAAAACTTTCAGTAATGCCGGGTAAAATACAACAACAAAAGTAACACAGAGCTAAATGTGGAGAGAAGTTCCCAGGTGACAATAAAAAGAGGACACTTAAAGCCCAGAGTGGTAATCTTGTGAGCTGATGCCACTGCACCCTGGAGGCAAGGGGTTTTAATCTGCAGATAAATAGGGATACAATGTCCATTTAGGAAAAAGGGTCCATACTAGATGTAGAAGACTCTTCCTTTATATCTATATAGTCAGAGACAGAGATGTAAAGTGGCAGCAGAGGCCACAGTGACACAGGGCCCTGGGCCAAGGAGTGTGAGCACCTTTGCAAGCTGGGAAAGGTAGGAAGACGAATCCCTCCCTAGAGCCTCAGTGTGGAATGTAGCCTTGGCCACAGGTTGGTTTTAGCCCACTGACATTGACTTTGCACTTCTGCACCCTAGAACAGTGAGAGGATGATTGTGTATTTCTTTAAGCCACTAAGTATTTGGTCCTTTGTTACAAGAGTAACAGGAAAGAAACTCAGGAACCAACAGGAACATGAACCACAGGCTTCCTGCTGTGCTGGCGGGAAGTCCTTTGTCTCTGATCCTGGGGGAGTCTCCTGTCTTCTGTCAGCATCCACAAACTACCTCATGCTAACTTGGCAGCTTGCAGAGGGTCAAATCTTAACCCTGCACAGTTCTTGATATTTCGTTAATAAAAATGATGGTGTCATCATGGGTATTTTTCCATCTTTAAATACCCATCAGTCTTCTAATAAAGCTACTTCTAATTGAGAGACTGTGTAAATAGTTTTCAATCTTCATAATAAATACCTGTGGTTTTATTTGGTTACTTAAATTATGAATAACAATATTCATATTAGTAAAAGTTATTAAAATCAACATTGTGAAATGAAAATATCATTTCTTTTTGCATGAACATGTATTAACTCCAAGAAATGTCCCATGCTTTGTTGTATGATTTAGTGTTAGAGTCTTAAAGAATAATATTTTCCTCAAAAGATATTATGGTGAAGGGATTTCTTTTGGTGGAACAGTTCCTACATCAAATCTGGTGCATGGCTCAGGCCACTGGGAACCTAGAGATGATAGAAATTAGGAGGCATTATAAACACAGAATCATTTTTAAAGGAATTAAAAAACTGGATGTGTGAAAACAAAGAATCAGAGAATATTCTGGTGAAATAAATGTATTTTTCAGCTTAACAAAGACATGCAGTGAATAAATCTAAAATGAAAAAAACACCCAGAGATTAGCAGCGACTCATGAATGCAGTGTGACTGATCAAAACCAAGTTGTTTCCGAACCAGTGTACAGGCATGATGCCTTCATGAATCAAGTCTGTGTGGCACCAGGGCTCCTCGAATACATGTTGATGAGGTATCTATAAGCCCTTCACCATCCCAGCTCAAAGCCCACACATGAGCCACAAGACCATCACCTACACAACTGCAAAACACACAGCATGGTGAATAGCACTTTTCCTGTTCAGCAGCCGGTGTCAGGGCACTGTGAGCAGACAGAAATACAGGGACACAGAGACACAGAGGCACCTCCCCTCACTCAGCTGATAAACTTCCATGCATTCCTGGGGACAGGATTGTCATAAAATGCACCATGGATTGATCCTCCTCCTAAGAAAGGAACTGTAGGGCTGTCCTCAAGTTTGAGCAAGGGTGGCTGGAAGATCTCAGAAGAGCTGTTTCAGCACAACCAATAGAAATGTCTGCCACCGTGACCACAAGAGACAAGTCTCCTGCCATCCCGGTAGGCATTTGGGCTCCTGAAAAAAGCTGGGCTCAGTAAAGGGTTGAGTAGAAGGCACAAACCTGAGGGATACCCCAGCAGGAGACAGGAGGTAGGGCCTGGTTTATACTGCTCTGGGTGTATCCAAGCCTCATCCAAATACGAAATCAGAAATTTGCAAAACAGTAGAGCTGGGATGGATCATCTACTCCAGACTCCTCACCTTACAGTTAAAAGGATGACAGCCCTGACAGGCAAAGCAACGTGCTAAAGGCAGAGTGTGGAAGTGGCAGCGCCAGATAAAATGCACCGTGGCAACCCCCGTTCAAGGACTCTGACACTGAGGACGTGGCCAAGGTTTCCAATGAGGAGAATGAGACA